GAACTTTTGTCTAAAATAGACTTTTTTTTTCATATTTTTTAATGGAGTTTTGAGATGTGCACATTGAACAGACTGAAAGGTAAGTTTTTCTAACTATGAGAGCATGCACAAGATGTGTGCACCCTTTCTGTTTCAGTTTGGGGTCTTGCATGGGCTTCAGAGACTCTGCTATCTAACAAACATGTCCTGGAATGGTGTGTTCTTGTTGATCCCCTCCCCAACATTTGTGACTTCTCCCTGAACTGCACAGTTCCCAGTAACCTTACCTACCAGGAACTGATGTTCCTGAATTAAGCAGGAAGTTGCTGATATGGAGAGGACAAACAGAGTGTTTTCTTGTTGGCACCCACCCTTGGCTGGGACTCTGCACGTTCGCCCTCTTGGCTCAGTATTGGCAATGCTTGTTTAATTTCAAAGCAGGGAAGGAAATCAAAATGAAATTTCACTTAAATAGGCATCTTGAATTTGACTACAATTACATGCCTTTGAATGTTCTGGCAGAGGAGGAATACTGCTTCTAAAGCACTGGCATCATTTAAGCCTTTCAAAGGAGAGCAATTCTGTACTATGTTCTGCAGCTTAAAAACAGAAACTTGAGCCTTCTCCTTCACTTCTTCCCATCTATTTCAGACTAGAGTGATATAATGAGCACTTATAAGAATGAAAGTTTTAGCTTGGCAGTTTTAATTGCTTAGGCATGTCATTAGTTCATCTGGGTTGTGTGAGGGAGGATGCTTTAAATGTGGTGCCTTCCAAAAATACTAATGAGCATGGTGGAACATAGAAAGGTTTGGTTTGGAAGGGACCTTAAAGATCATCTACTTCCAGCCCCCCTGCTGTGGGCAGGGTCACCTTTCACTAGACGAGGTTGCTCGAAGCCCCATCCAAACTGGCCTTGAGCACTTCCAGGGATGGAACATCCACAGCTTCTCTGGGCAACCTCTTACCACCCTCACAGTAGAGAATTTCTTCCCAATATTCAATCTAACTCTGCCTTCCTAAAGTTACCCCTTGTACTATCACCACATGCCTTTGTCAGTAGTCCCTCTCCAGCTCTCCAATAGACTCTTTAGGCACTGGAAGGTGCTCTAAGGTCTCTCTGGAGCCCTCTGTTTTCCAGGCTGAACAACCTCAACTCACTCAGCCTGTCTTTGTAGGAGAGGTGCTCCATCCCTTTGATCATCTTCTTGGCCTTCCTCTGGACTCACTCCAACAGGTCCATGTCCTTTTTGTATTGTGTCCCACTTGTATTGAAGGTCTGTGGAAACAATTTCCCCAGCCCAGCATACTATAAAAGAAGCATCAGATAAGTTTCTTAAGAAAATTCTGTGAAAGAATTGTTTTGCTTTCACTGTTGGTAAAGCTTTGGCTGGTACTTGAAGATTTCTAACCTTATGTGCATCAAAATCCTTATGCAAGAAAAAATGGTGACAGCTGCTTTTATTTGTAAAATGAAGATGCGACAAAAGTTTAATAAGTTGCAAGAAGGCATGAAGTTACCAGCAGCTCTTTCCTAGGCCTGAGCTCTGAGTAGGCTAATTCTCCCTCTAATTTCAAGTGATGATTATCAACCAGAATGTTATTTACCTTACTTGGCAGTTTAGGGGATGTTAGAGGGGTGTGATTCACAATAGCACAATCACTTATTCTAGTCAAAGTTCATGGCACTTCTGCTTTGCCATGGCAATTCAGTACTTCTCACATCTGTTTCTGTATGAAGTCTATGCATGCTGGCATGTTTTCACTGTGGGAACTCCGATGCAATCCTGCCTGAAATGTGGTTTTCCATAACAGTTTTCTATCCCATATGAGGTAGAGAAGGAAATACAGTGATTTCTCTCACTTGTGCAAGGCAGGACTCAAAGGAAACTTGGAGGTAGTTGGGATAATTACCTATTCATTGATAAATTTCAAATTGTCATGCAAATAAACAAGATGGAAAATTATATTTAGACATTGAGAAGAGTGTCAGACATTAAAAACCCCCCCCACATTGGTGCCTTAATGCGTTTGAAGGTTTCTTCCATTTTTGTTTTAGCTTTGACAAATTGTTTTTGTCCTCCTTTTCTTCCCCCCCCACCTGACACCCTTCTCTTCCAGCAACTGGAAGCAGCAGCTGCTCGTGCTGCTGAGGAGGAGAAGAAAAGACTTCAGACTCAAGTTGAATTACAAGATCGCTTCAGTTTGGAGCTGGAGAGAGAAAAAATGGTGAGCAGAGCGAGTGGGTTTTTGCTACGATTACACACAGTGAGCTGTGCCTGCAGCAAGGGCTTCCCTCACAGGAGCCACTGAAAGGATTCCACAGATTTTGCTGGAGGCTGGAGAATGCAACCTGCGTTGCGTTTGCTAGAGATGTAGGACTAAAATATTTTTACTGGTGAATTCAAAGACTGGCACAGCTTGGCTACAATTTGTATAGCTTTCAAGGCTTAAGTGTTACTGGAAAACTGGGAAAAAAATTGACTGTTCGAAGGATAAATGCAGGCTGAGGTTTTTGGAGTTTTCAAAGATGGAGAACCTGAGGCCAGTACGTGCTGTATGAATATGCAAAATGAATCAGGCATAATCAAAATGCATTTTATATATTCCCAGAACTATTGCTTTTTTATGCTGTGTCCCCTTTTACATTTATGCGCACACACAAATACAAAAAGTAAAGTTGCTATTAACCTACACTGGGAATTTCCAAAAGAACTAGTTCTCAATCTTCAAGGGCTTTGTCAGGCATAACGAGTTTTTCTGTTATCTGGAGAAAAGAAGCAGAAATTGTTAAGTCAGTGTGATGGGACATCTCAGGACATAAATGCACACAGTGCTGCTTTATGAGTGAGTGTGAATTCCTGAATGCAATCACTTTCTGGGTCACTGGGATTTCGGTTAGCTGAGGGAAAGTGGACTGCAGACCAGTGGGGTAGGACATGCCACCCTCTGACGCGTGACTGTAGCCTGTCGGGGCTATGCAGGACATGCCATGTGTTGGTAAATGCCAAGGGCTTGGTGCTTTATCCCAGCTGCCTCCTGCTGACCCAGCACAGGAATGGCCTCTGTGGGAGTCACAGACTCCTGGTTTCACTCTCTGGTCCGTGAAAGAGGGATGATAAGGATCAGAGACTGGGGGATTGAGGATATGCAGCATTCCCTCACCTTCCTCTGTCCCTTACCTTTCTTTGTTGTAGTGGCTCTTCTCTTAGCAGAGCCAACCTCCTTAGCTGTTTTCCAGTCCTTTGCTGATGTGGTGCCGTCATCATCCAGACAAGTGTGTGAGATACACTGCTGCCAAGGGAGGACTTGCCTGAGGAAGAGAGTGGAAACTGTCACTAAATCAGCCTGACTTTTGTGTCTGACCACTCTGCAAGCTTTCTCTTCCTTCAGTTTAGTGTGTATCTGTAAACTAAGCAAGAAGATCAAACTGACCAAAGTTAGGTTTGAACCTCCTGTAAAAATCCTGTGCTGCAGGAAGTAGAGCAACATAAGTAACTTGTATTATTAATTTTTTTTTTTAATGCTCTTAGTTACACATCTACAGTTCTAGCCACAATTTTGTCAGTTCTGCTCTGCAGGCGGCAGGAAAAGGTTTGTCTCTGAAAATGTCATCTGAGGGAAACCTGGCAATTCCTTTAAAAATTGGAACCCTGAGCTGAATGTTAGCTCATGTGTCCCCAATTTATGCTGCTAGGTAAGGCAAAAGATGGAAGAGCAGGTTGCTCAGAAATCATCTGAACTGGAACAATATTTACAAAGAGTACGTGAACTGGAAGAAATGTATAAACAGCTACAGGAAGCATTGGAGGATGAGAGACAGGCACGTCAAGATGAAGAGACTGTGAGGAAACTTCAGGCCAGGTATGGCTTTGACCAGGTAGAAAAGTATTTCAGTTCCCCACCCCTCCCCTGCAAATAGTAAGTAACTGTGCCATGCACTAATGATTGTTTGCCTCTTGGACATGCTGCTGGAATGACCTTCAAGTCAAAACACAGGTTTTATTTTCCCTCAAGATATGAAAGCTCAAGCTGGTATTTAAATATGTTCGATTAGTGCTTAGTAGAGGGAGTGCTCAGCAATTTCAGAAAAGCAGGCACACTTATTTTTCCATCAGGTGGTGTGCTTGTCAGCATGTGGAAAACTGAGATCACTCTGTACAAGCTTTTCAGTTGTTTATTTTATAAAGCACTAACTGTAAATATGACGTTCTACTGTATTTTATCGCAGGTTTAAACTGTACTGATAAAGGGTTAAGTTTCCTCTTATTCACTTGGGCTTTTTCTACTGTGGTTTGTTTCTTCATATATTCGGTACTAAGACAATGAAGATAACTGATGCATACTTGTTTCTTCTAGGGCTCTGTGTTGTGTGTTTGCATTATTGACTACATTTTCTGAATAGCCCTTTGTAGCAGTCAGACTGCTTGCACTGCTGGCATGATCAGCAGCTTGATGCTGAAGGCAAACCAGCAAGCAATAATTTTTTTTCCCTGCTTCCCAAGCTCTTTTTTTATAAACAATATATTCCTACCCTTTTAAAAAAAGGGGAGGGGAAAATAAACTATTAACTTTGCTTCCATACATGTGTGCTAGGTAATGGATACAACTTACTTTTTAGTGCAGTTAACAAAACAATCCCCATTGCAGATTGCTGGAAGAGGAGTCAGCAAAGAGAGCTGAACTGGAAAAATGGCATTTGCAGCAGCAACAGACCATTCAGATGACAGAAGCAGAGAAGCAAGAGCTAGAAAACCAGAGAATTATAAAGGAACAGGCTCTTCAAGTTGCTATGCAGCAACTGAAACAACTTGAACTGGAAAGGAAGGAGGCCCTTGAGCAGTACGAGGTGAGCTGTTCTGTGCATCAACCTCTCATCCACAGATTGACTGAATTTGGAGTTCATCACTGTTATGCTTCTGTAAGGATTAGTATGGCACAAAGATTATAATGAGAGGTAGGATAGTTGGGTCAGGTTTTCTTGGTCTAGACCAGTGGATACATTTGAAGAAGAGGACCTATTTCAGACACACCACCTCCTTTATTTATTTTTGTCCCAATTTGCATACAAGTCAGCTCAGTCATATCCTGAAACACTCTGTGTGCATTTGTCTTCTACTGTAGACTCACTTCATATGCAGTCCCCTTACTCTCATAACTGAATGCCTTTTGCTTCTGAGTTAGTTATTCTTGCAGTGTTTTGATGATGTAATTGCACAATATTGTCTTCTACAGATGAAATATCAATGTGTTACTGTATGCACTCGAAAATTTATTTAAGCTCAGATTCTCAATGTGTAGCAGTGCCTCCTGTCCCAAATGCCAGGCCTGCTCTCTGCTCTGCTGAGTGTTTTTGGTGAAGGTCAGTAGCTGTGGAAGTCAGTTTGTGGAAGAAATAAGAGCCAGAATCCAGCGAGTACAGAGTCTGAAGTGCGGCACAATTTCCAGGACTGGGGAGGTGTTGATCCTGCGTGTATTTAGGTCAGGAAACAAAACCTGGCTGGGTTTCTGTTTAACTGGAGAGAGTGTTTATGCTGGCCTCCGTGCCATTGAGGTGAGCTCTGTGAAGGACAAGCCAATGAGCTCTTGACTGGCACAGAATACAAATGCTGCAGTGACCATGAACAAGGGCCCACGTGGGGTAGTTGTGGACTCTTTACAACTTCCCATGTTGGTGTTACATCTCACACCATCATTAGATTGCTTTTCACTGGTACTTGCCATTTCTTTAGGTGACATCTCACCTTTTTGTATGCGAAACATCACTTAGTACTCCGAAGGAATTGCTGAATACAATAGACATTAAAAAAAAAAATCCACAAAACAATTAATATAGAAATAATTAAACATTCTAGCCTTGCATTTGGAATTGCCCAAAAGCCCAGTTTAGACTGAAGAATGCCTCTGTCTTGCTTGGGTGTAAGAGCAGTGGTCCTTTTCCTTTTTTATGATTTCTCGTAGTGAGAGATACTTAGTTTGGAACAGAAAGTGCATCTTCCTGTTTTGAAACTACAGTTTACGCTTTCAATCTTTATGAAGATGAGCCCTGCTTACACAGCTACAGAATCTTTTAAAACCAAGTTATTTTGGGATTCTGGTTTGACAACTTTTTTTTTTTTTTCCCCCAGTGATGACTAAATTACTTGGGATGGTTAGAAATTGAGCTCTCACTAACACAGAGGGCTGGCTGAATTAGCATGGTTCTAGCTTTGGTTTTAAAAGATGTTTTATCTTTTTATATAAACAGAGTAAAGTTGTTCTTGTTTTCAAGCAGGCTGTATCTTATTTCAGGAGGTTAAGAAGAAGTTGGAAACGGCAGCTAATAACACCAAGAGTTGGAAAGATAAAGTAGCTCATCATGAGGGATTAATTCGACTAATAGAGCCAGGTAAGCTATCAACAGAAAAGTTACAAAAATATGCATTCATTCTGTCTCAGGTACTTAGATCACCTGGTGAATTACTGAAGTCTGCCTTTTCCTGTGACTTAATGGTTTCATGGCAGCCTATAAATAACACAATTGTGAGAACTGCTGATGGTAACTTTCAAGTCTTTACATCTACTGGCCCTACTATAAAGATTTTATTGTCGTTATTATTGTTGTTTGTTTCTTTTATGTTTAATACAAAGCAAGGATCAGCCTGAACGTTGCATCGTGTTGGTGTTGAATGCAGTTAGCATTCAAAACCGTGAAGTAAGTATTTGATTTCTGAAATAGTTTAATTTCTTAGCTTAATTAATAGCATGCCAGCCCAGAGGAAAGTGGCTTCGTAATGCAGTTCTGGAGAGATCACTTTTCTTCAAGGACACCTCTAAAGGCAAGAAGACGGGTTTCTTACACAGAACTATTTGAAGGTGGGGGTTGGAAGTTGGGAGATAAGGATACAAAAGATTGCAGCAGTTGACAACTCCCGCTAAGCACCTTCAGTGACAGCAGCCCAGGCATTCCTCCCTCCTTGGACAGGCAGGTCCTTGGGTCACCTTTGAGAAGGTTTCCAGTCACAGAAGAGGCAGCATTTTCCAAATCCTCCTGTGGTGGGTGTGCAACATCCCTGTCAGAAATGGCCCTCTCAAGTATTGCACTCTCTCTTCCAGGCTCCAAGAATCCTCACTTAATCACAAACTGGGGCCCAGCTGCCTTCACTGAAGCTGAACTGGAGGAAAGACAAAAGAGCTGGAAAGGAAAAAAAGCCACTTCTGAGTGACGGCGGTGGCTGACGAGTTGTCTGTGGATGGCAGCCCACCTCCCCTCGTCCTGCTTTGCACAGAGCAGCCTCTCGCTTGCAAAGTTCTTAGTTTGCTCAGCAGGTTGTGCCTTTGTACAGATGAAATACTGTTTACCACGTCAGTGTGTCTGCTGAGAGCTGAGCAATTACAATATGTGGTGTCTGACACTACTTGCAGTTTGTTCTCGCTCATGTTTCCAGAAACTCTCTTCTTTTATAAAAGACTTCTCAACTGAAGATTTTTGTTGAAATGTAGCTTGCGACGGAGTTGTTTATGTACTAGCCTGTAACAATCTGACAGCAGCTAACCAATCAAGCAGCATCACTTTCCTTCCAAAAAGTGAGGGAAGCAATTGTTCCATTGGTTGAGTTAGTATAATTTAAACCCAGGATAAGTCAGTCCTGGAGATTGTGTCCAACTCTGAGACAGAGCATTACCTTTCCTTCCACTGAGCCTCCTTCTACTCTGTCCATCTGCTGCTCTTTGCATGGTGCTTAGTGCTCAGACACATCCTTTAGTGAGGGTGGGCTGGCAGTGCATGCTGCCTGGTTGGATTTGGTGTCCTGTTTTCCTCTGTTTGCAAGAATACAAACAAAAGAACTAGAAATAGGCATGTAGAAAATGCTGCTGGAAGACATTTGGAAAAAAAGTAGTCGTGCAAGACCGTTTTCGTACTGTCTCACACTTGAGAAGTGCTAAATAAAGCCTTGAGAGTTCTCTTAATAGTTTAAAAGATGCAGGTTTGTCTCACAGGTGAATGGAAGGTGGTAGCACAGTCCAGATATCATCTGCATCAAGGCTGTGTTTGTGCAAGAAATCTGATTAGAACATACCACCATTTTTAGATGTAGCACTTTTATCTTAATTGGAGGACAGATTAAAAAAAAAGTAAAAGGAAAAATAAATTTCACTTTTTTTTTAAATAAAAATGATAACCTGTTTTGAAAAAAAAATCATTCCTTACAGTAAAATAACTTCAGTGTTTCTAGTACCAGGGCTTCCCAAAGAGCCTGCTGCTCTGCTTCACAATTCTTCCCAGGGACAGAGCCAATTATTTCTGTTTCTTTAGGGAAAAGCAGCAAGTCTGTGACTTTGCTCTGTAGATCTCCCACAGCAGACAAGAAGTCTGTCTATTGCTCAGTAAAACAGGATTCCTGCTAACTTGTACAGAGATTTTGAGAACTCCCCCCTCAAGGAGCAGGTGCCCACTGGTGTGGCTTTGAGTCAGCTTTGCTTGTACCCCAGACATCCATCCCTTAGCACCTGCCTGTTAGTTCAGCTACATGTTAAATTATTTTTCGTAAATAAGAAGTGAATTTTTCAGGTGGATAAGCAGTGCCTTTGCGTGCAGCACTGTGATACTTGGATCTTGGAAAAGCAAAAGTTGTACAGAAGTGGTACCCAGATTTGGAAGTCAATACCATTTTATTTGCCTATTAACTAAGACTCACTCAAATACTGAATCTTCTCAGACATTTATTCTCTGGTTATATTTTTATACTAATTGAAATCTTTAATGATTCAGTAAATCGAGTGCTAATTAGAATGGCAGGAAAATCCAGGATCTTTGTATTTGTACTTACTGTACAGGAAAACAATAGTTCTTTAAGCTTGATAACAAAGCATTTTTTAAAAACATTGATCACGTTTACAGAAGCATTGTGAAGAAAAAAAACATCCAGCTGTAATAGAAATACTAATGTGCACGTGGTTAAACTTTGCTAAAGGAGCTGGAACAGTATTTATAACTACCAACAGCTTTTATGTGGAGAGCAAAAGGTGTATTGGGGCTAAACTTGTTTAATTTTTCTAACGGTCTTTATTTTGGACAACCGTTTTTTAAGAACACCAAATGATGCATGTTTTGATATTTTTTACTGTTCTTTAGAATTGGCTGTTTAATAAAGTAATATAAAGTCATTTACATTTTGGAATTAATTAGTGTCTTTTCGCCTGGGTTTCTTTTGGGTTACTGGTGTTCAAAATCCAGTAACTGTTGTGTGGAGGTATTACTTTGATGGAAGAAGTTTAATGGTTGGATCAATGGGATGTAGATTAAAGCTCTAATAGAGGCAATGGTCACACAGATAACACAAATATAATTTAACAGCATTGCTTCTCTTACATGTTTGTATTCAGTACACCTTGGTACAGCATCATGGTGCTCAGCTCTGGCAGCCAGCCTTGCTCAGGAACAGTATTTGGAGGGTGCAGTTTAGCTGTCTCTGAAAGACAAGGATGCCAGGAGGGAAATGATGCAGCTGTTGTGCCTAGAGCAGCACAGGAACCTTGGAATGGGAACCTGGGACAAGGGCAGAGCAGGGCTCAGCAGGAGCTGACGGGAACACGGCTGCTGCGAGAGGCACCTGGGCACAGACACACACAACAGCCCGTCAGGGGGACATGTCAGCCCCATATGTCTGTCTGGAGTCAGCTCTTACTCACTGCTAGAAGAGGAAATGAGACAAGTTTCCTTTTAGCTTTGTCGGCCCTGCTTGCTCTGACAAATTAGGAAAGCTTTGTGTGAAGCGCTGCACGGTAAAGGTGGGGGAGAGGTTGGTTTAAATATTAAACCATTTGCATTCTGAGCAAAAATACTGCTTTAGACTAAGCCCCTTAAAGTGACACTGAACAGCGTTCAAAGGGAGCACAGAGCTGTGAGTCAGTCACCACAGCTCATGGAACAGTGAGCATGGGAAGCTGCATCCCTTTGTGGTATCATTTCCGGTGAGGCCAAGGGTTCCAGCTCTGCTATTCCAACAAACCAACGAGCCTGCTAATGGTGAGGATATCCTCAGTGAACTGTAGGACTAGGGGTAGCTCTGTTCTGCCCCAGGAAGCCTTACCTACACCCTGGGCTTAGCCATGCAGAGGCCAGTGGAAAGCTGTGGCTGCTGTTCCTGAACCCTTGGGAATGCTCAGCCCGCTTTCCTTTGTTCACCAGATTCAGGTTTAATTTACCTGCTGCTGGTGGAACAGTCCTGCAAACCAATACCACAGAGTACCATGCTTTTCCCTCTAAAAACAGGATGGGATCTTTTTTTTCCCTGCGATCATTTTATGGAGTTGATCTATGAGCTGTGCATAGTGAATCACACATTCCCAAACTAACAGGCCAGTTTCCATCAACTTATGTTACTTCTGTTTCAGTGTCCTGCATGAACATCCACAAAAGCAAAGCCCATGTGGGGAAAAGAAAGAGTGTCTTAGGATAGAATCCGTATCCTGGGCTGATGGGGGGACCCAACCCCACAAAGCAGTAACTGTTTGTAGCTGTTCATCGTGGGGGGTGGTGGCTGGAAAGAGATATCTTTAAGGTCCCTTCCAACCCAAGCCATTCTGTGATCCTATGGCTCAGTCACACAGGCCACCTGGAACACGAGCTGCATCATCTGTCTCAGTAAAAGTGAACTGAAAAATAACTGCTCTGATTTTTATCTCAAATATGTGAAGCAGTTAAGTAAACAATTTTTGAGTAAACCAGTGCAGGGCCAGGAAAGGGGATATCCATAAAGTCATTCGGGGAGAGAGGTCATTATTTGTTCCCAAAGGAAAGGGCACAGAAAGGAGGCAGTAGTACACTCTACTCTGCTACACACTTGTCCCCTCTCAGAGAATGACAAATTCCTTCAACACTTAACAAAATTTTCGGGACTTTCCACTCTGCCGGCACCATGCTGGTTATCTGATAATTGTGGCTCTCTTTTGTTTGCTTTTTAAAATAGATCTTTTCGCACCCCCGACGCCCCCCGCCTGGCTGTCCCCGGAGTTCCCAGGGCAGGAACACCAAGGGGGCTGCGGCAGGAACACGTCGGGCCGGAGCTCCTCATCGCTTGGCTCCGGCTGCCACCTCGTGGTGGCCCAGCTCAGCGTCCCCAGCCCTCGTTAGTGCGGTGTTCCCTACCTGTGGAGATGTCCCGGGACACACACTCTTCCTCTCCTTTCCCCCGCAGCAGGGGGTGCAAGGGAAAAGCACTGTGAGCCAGGTCTCCTGTTGCACCACCATCACACACCTCCCTGTTGTCCCTGGGTTCATGCGCCAGTTCGGCTCCTCTCTTAGCATGCCTGATCCCAGAGACATCCCATCAGCCTAGGAAAAAAAGATCTTATGAATGTTACCACTGGCTTAGGATAAATTTAGGCTCAAAGCCTTGGAGCTAAGTCATGCATGTTTTCCCTGAAAACCCCCACTGCAGCACAGAAGGACAACGTGTACAGTTGGATACAGCATCCAGCAATCTCACACCTGCAGGCAAAGCTTGGGCTGTCATAGAGCTTTCCTAATGGCAGTAAAGCAGAGCAAGGAAAAATGGGTAAGGAAGTTTCCTTAGCTGCAAGCAGTGTTTTCCCAGGTGCCTCTTACACATGCCCCGAGGCTGCAAGACTGGGGCTGAGAGGAGGATGTGCTCAGCATCACGTACTCCCCTTTTGAGAGCAGGACTCAGACTCATCCCTTCAAACCACAAACAGGGTGGGCGTTAGGAGGAGGGGATATCAGCCCATGGTTTGAAACACTTTGGAGCTCCCCACCTGGCAGGGTGAGCAGCTATACAAACATCATATCTTGAGGACTCCTGCTAGTGCTAATGTGGCCATGAGGTCCAAAATAAAATGCAAACAGAAATTTGTGACACTACTTGAATTCAGAGGCTGTTGTGACTTCCACACATTGAGTCTCACTGTGAACTTCAACTACTTGGAAATGCCAGGAAGCAAAAGTGCAGAAAAGCACTGTTTTATGAACTGGCTTTCTGGGTACGTCAAAAATACTCATCCTTCAGAAAAAGGAAATGCCAGTGGTTGTTTTAACACATAAGACGAAAATAGATTTGGAAAAAGGTGACTGCTTCTCACCTCCAAAAGAAATTAAAATTGGACCAGTATGATGCAAAACAGTAGATTAAAAACATCCTGAAAAGCCTTGAGAGGGAGATTTAATGAGGC